CTATATATATATATATATATATACAAATATTCGCTTTGTAGTTTAAAACTATTGTCTATTTTATCGTTTAATTACTCTTTTTTAAAGAAATTATCAGCAACATTTTTTGCTTTCCGAGGACTTCTGATTTGAAATCTCGATCTAGCTTTTCGGAAAAAGAATTTAAAACTATAGTTCATTTCTAACTACACTAACATGTTTTCTCTATAGGTATAAACCCAGCTCTATTTGTATGTGTTCGTTTATTGTTTCTAACTCTTAGTGTGTATTGTACAGCGGTTTTATTTTAAATTTTGGATGTTGACATTTTTGGATACATTTCTGTATTCTTCCATAAGAAAAATATTTACCAAAGCTGTGCATGATTTCAGAATCCTCTAAGGAGAAAGCTGGTTCTACATGTGACTCACCTTTACGATAGGGTAGAATACTACTGTACTTTTTTCCAATATGATAATAATTACTCCCTTCTTACTTCAGATATGAAGGGATTTACAAATTACAATGTAAAAAAATATATGTTTTAGCTGTCTTTTGTCAAGCTGCTTAACTCCTTGAGCTCGATACTAACAGTGTCTATAATTGTCAAGTACAATGTGTGTGTGTGGAATTTCTATTTCGGCTTCTTCAGTTTTGAATAAAATAACAAAATAATTTCTTTAATAATATTCACTTGAGAAAAATATAAATATAAACAAAAACTAGCTTTGATATTTAAAGTAAAAACCGAGAAGAAGAAAGAGAGAAAAAACGTTAAATCAGAATGTTACTCGTTTTCAAGATTCTGGATTTTCCTAAATTGTTGTATGCAAAAAAATCTAATTTAGCATTTAAGAAAATTAATTGCTTCTAAGTTTTAAAGAAACTAAAGTCAATGTAAATCTGATGTAACCTTTATACCTTAATTAAATTCAAAAATAGGTTTTCCAAGTATATTTTAACTTCAAACAAGTCAAATATGAAATAAGCATTAAACATTAAGATAAAGAAATAAAATTTAGACTTTAAACAATGTTATTCTAGTACACAAGTAAACGTAGTAAATAAAGTTTAAACAGAACAAACTTGCTTTACAGTTTAAACAAAATAATAATAATTATTTATAGCAAGTTTAGCAGTTAATGTAAGTAATATACAGTATTTAAGTGTTATAGACTAATTTAAAATACTTGTAGATGTTTATACTTGAAGTTTTAACTTTTGTTAAATAAGAAAGAAGAAAGAAGTTTTTTCACCAATAAAATACACAAAAAACGCAAAAGTCATGAAGAAATATATGTACAAAGGAAAAAGTGTACCTGGAAAAGTTTATTAAATGTCAATTAAAACGTAGAAAAGCTGGAAAATAAGAAACACGAAGAACAGCAGAAATTGTACTCTGCTAAGAAAAGATCACATTAACGTAAAAGAAAAAACTAAAAAGTTTAAAATTATACAAAGGAATATCTGTACATTTATAAAGGAAAATACAACTATCCATGAAAAGAAAAACATGATGTGTTTAGAGAAGCCTGGTAACCTACTAAACTAAAACGAAACGCACGATTTCTAAAAAATTCAAGCAACAAATGAAACACAAACAACGAATACTTTTTTGCAGAAGCTGATCGGGTCGGGCGTGACCTAGTGTTAGAGTGTCGGACTATGAATCTGAAATTCATTATAAAAGTGATGTTCAAATCCCACTATGTGATTAGGGTAGCACAAGAGTTGACAGCGAATGCTGTTGATTAACTTGATTTCATTCTGCTCTACCGATTTAAAATTAGGGACGGGACCCGCAGATAGCCATTGTTTAGCTTTGCACGAACTTCAAAAACAAAATAAATAAACAAAAGTTTACGAACATGTGATACGAAAACGAGTAGTACGTATTCAGACGCTTAAAAGCTTGTGATACAAAAAACAACAACAGGGTATATGTAGTTGGGGAAGGATAGCGAGAAAATAAGCAAACAATATAAGTATAGTTATAGCAGTATTGCAGTTTGGAAAACATAAAACAGTATATCGTCCAGAACATCTGACAAAAAAAATCAAAAAAAAATCGAGGAATAGAGATTAAAGTAGCTTTGCAAAATACAAACAAACTTTAGAGCATTAATAGTATGCCTGAGCAATATTTGAAATGAAATGCAACTGAATATTAGACTTGGTTAACAACATGCAAAACAAGAACAACATAAGAAACAACAAACAAACAGAAATTAAAGCTCGGTAACATCCGAAGTAAAAATAAAAGAGCTTAGCAAGTATCAGAGAAAAGTCGAATAATATGTTTAAAGTTTAGGAACATTTGACACAAAAAGTAAGAGTGCATTAAGAGTACTTTAGCAAAATACAAGAGAATATTTAGGATGGTTTAGCAATAACCGAAGCATATATTTTGATTTTAGAGTATACTATCAACATTAAACCCATGAATGTATCTAGAAAAGCTTTTAAACTTACCCAAAAAAAACCTAGCAATGAGGGAAACAAAACTACTCGTTATTTCGCAACAGTCACGTGACTTCATATTAACTTAAAACATTAAGAAGCCATATTACAGAAATGATGACACATAAAGTCGACTTGTATGAAGATAATCCTCGAAGAACGATTCGAATGCGACGAGACCATTGATTGACTCACTAAGACATTAAATGAACAACGATAATTAGTTGGTCTTACATTTATAAAAACAATATCTATAATGATGAATATATATATATATATATATGAATTAAGGCATTGGGTAAACAATGATAGAAAGTAATTAAAACATTGACTAAATGATAGAGCAGAGACAAAAGTGAACAATGTTTCGAAGAAAAATAAACGTATTGTTTATTTATAGAAAGATATTTAACCAAATACCGTTAACAGACGACATCAAGTGAAGTTAACATTATGGACCAAAGGATGACACTAACTCGAAATGAAACCATTAAAACATTGTTATTCTCTCGGTAGGGCTTGAAGTGAATTCAAGATCAACTCATCGTTATTTTGGCCAGCGTGACTTTCAATTATCAAGGCTATAAGATAAAAATAATGTGCAGAATATCTAATGAAATGACGGACTATCATTAAACTATGACAGACAGAGGGTGGTTTACAAGTGATATTTGAGCTTCAGATTTACAACAATGACGATAAATATGAAAAAAAAATCCATTTAACGTTAATTCTAGCATCAGACATGTGTATGTTTAGTCTTTTAAAGTCATGAAGCCATCTTTATTGTAATCTTATTAAACATTCTTCACGTTGTTCTAAGATCTTTTTTTATTGAATAACTTTGTTTATGCTATAACATTCTACCCTAGTATACACTGACTATAATGGTTATTCTGAAGTTTGAGGAAGGCAAATATAAATTAATTAATTCCTTTATAATACAATTAATTGAACAAAAACTTAGATGGCATAATCAATGTAAAATACGTAGAAAATAACCTACTTGGAATTAACCGATGCTATATATCAACAAAGACATGAGTGAAGGTGATTGTAGATAAAATCTTCCTGCTTAGATTAGAATCTACGAGAACATATTTTATAATTTGGTCTAAAATACTTAAAAATATATGTACAGTTTTCGTACCTCTTCATAAGATTTGATCGTGATAGAGGATTCTTTCCTCCATTATAGGAGGCGCTCTTTGCCATATCTTTGTAAATAAAACTTGATGTTCTTCACAAGAAAGTTCTATGTTCTAAACAAGTGAATCACATGTCTTTTATTATTTAAAACTAGTTCAAAATCCGCTCTCGGATCATATACTTTGAGACATGATCAGATTGATCTCATTCTTCTATTATATATATATATGTACACCGAGTTCTCAGAAACAGATGAACACTTAGCTAACCATTTCGGGCATTAATCTGTTTAGTTTGTCGTTCATTCTTGCTTATTGCACCTTTTGTCACGAACATAATTTCAAACTATGTGTCCAGAGAAAAAAGTATTTCTTAAACTGGCGTGAAACTATCAGGAGATTCGACATCTTGCGGAAAGTAGTCTGACTGCTCGTCGTCAGACTTGAGCCGTTTGCAATCTGAACCATCCAAGTCGACTTCCTGATCAGAGCTGTCGTCTTGGCGTAGTTGCTCTGTGTCGTGCTTCTTCTTAGCCGTAGCCATCTCTGCCGCGTGTTTCTTCCGCCACTTGGTTCTCCGGTTCTGGAACCATACCTGCGAAGACCAAAAGAAACTAGAATACCTAGGAAGCATACTTCATCACACGTAGCCGCCTAATCAGAAGTCAAACAATGTATGTATGAAAGCTAAATCAATGAAAATATCTTGTTCATACATGGCGCTTGTAAAAAGCTAGTCTCTCCAAAATTGTATGGAGAGTAGATTTCCAACCCGAGACAACCTCCGAAGACATACAAAATCCAATGACGTTAGTAGCTTTATACGTTTGCTGTAATTCTGATAATATTTTATATAGAACAATTACGCTTAGGTAATTTCTTATCGTCGAATTAGTTGTTGGATATTGATTACCTAAGAAACTACATAAACAAACCGACAAACTAATATACCATGTTTAAGTTCAATATTCTAAAATGTAGTTACCTTAACTTGACTTTCGGACATTCCTAGAGCATAAGCAAGCTTAGCTCTTTCTGGCCCGGCCAGGTACTTAGTTTGCTCAAAAGTTTTTTCTAGCACGTAGATCTGGTGTCCGGAGAAAGTGGGTCGAGTCTGTTTCTTCTTGCCGTCTTTATCTAGAGAGCCTTAGACAGTATTTGACAATACCAGAGTTATTGTTAAGAGACTTACATTGTTTATTGAGCTTGTAGTAAACAAGAGTGGAAATAAAATAAGGTTCGAGTTAAGAATTTATACTGTTTGTTCTGGACACTTGATAAGATATTAGTAGAAGGGCAATAAGTTACATAACAATGTATGTAAATATTAGCTTATTTAAGATAATTAGTTATATGCTGGATCTGCTTGTGAGTTTTGAAAACGAAAGGATAATAGAAACTTTAGATTAATGTCTTACTTAGATATGCAAGCAAAGAACTCAGAAAATATCTTATTTAACTCTCCTCAAAAGTATTTTACGTAACTAGGGGTAATGAGTTCCTTGGCACTGAATACATTGACTATAGTTTTTGGCTTTATATAAAAAAAGAATGGAAATTACATAGTAATAGCACATTTATTAATAAAAAGACAAGAAACTGCATAATAATAAGTATATAGCTTTGAGTAAAATTATTAAAACTTTAAAGCAGTTGATACTTGGCTTAGAATAGAATTATTAAGGATTTTAGGGAAATATTTATTTGTCCTTAAAAACGCTAGACTTCAGGTTAACGACTTGATTAAATCGAATTAATGATTATGAAATGCCATGCAGTAAAATAGCTCTGAATACAGAGATTAAAATCTCATTTTTAATGCCGAGTGTAACGATTAGGAACTTCAAGATATTTTCTTCACGCACATAAAGATCATAGAACCAACTGTCATTACTGAAAACAGTCTATCATTAATACATATAAAATGATGAAAGCAGTGAATATCCGTCACTAGTCATACAACTAAACAAGAAACTGCTGTTGAATACCCTTCACTACATATTCTATGAACACTGATTTACACTATTGAATGCTGATACACATCAAATATAGAATACCGATCAAAAGTATCGACTATTCTTCACTATTGACTCACATAAAGTAGTGTACTGATATATAGAGAGTAGTATATATAGAGGACGTTCACTGATGCATGTAGTCAAATATATCTAACTTTAGGTGAAACTACGGTTTGTATTTAAAATGATAGAACTATCACTTGATACGCCATTATGTAATGTAAAATCCCAGTAGAGTAGTGATTACTGATCTTACACTGCGGAAAGTCCTATACTATACTAATAAATTTTGCAATAAAGTTATCAAAAAACACCTTTACTCTCTAATTAATTATAAAAAATACTTTTTATTTCAACCAACTTTTCGCTATTGTGGAATCTTCAGGGCTAGTAGGACAAGAACTGCTTTTTCATACTGATACATACACTGTAGTGAATACTGATCTGTAGCACTAGGTATCTCAATCTACTAGTACGTCTATAAAGCTATGAATACTAATATACATGTATGTATATTAAGTAATGAAGACTGATATGCAATAATCTCAATTATATTTGTAAATACCTCATTTTACCGATTCGTGAGCAGTATAAAGTTACTACGTTGATATGTAATAAAATTCACCTTCATCTTGTATTTATTGAAGTTAAATTATACAAACAAAGGAGACAAACATACGAAAATATTTAAAAAATAACTTGAAAGTACGTCTAGATAACTATTAACCAATACTTAGCAGCTTTCATTACTATAAAAAACACTTATAATAAAGAATGCAAAGTTCGATTTAGTCTAAAACAACTAGAAAAATTAATTATATATACCAACAAAGATATATGAAAAACCATTTGACACCTGTTTTGACAATAAGAACACACACACACACATATATATATATTATCTAAATGAAATACTTATAAGGAAACTGGTAGAAGTTAAGAACATAAAATAAATGTGTTTATAGTAGGTTTGTTAAACTGCTTGAAAAATATCAGAAAACTATCTATATACTTAACTACATATATCGTATAGGTCCAGTTCTAGATATAACGTAAAAACTACCGATTAACCTAAATCTTTAGGACTGTCAACTGACATAGATTTATATAAGGAAATATGTAACTAACGCTTTTCTCAATATTCAGTAACGTAATCAGTTGTACTTTACTTTAGGTAAAGTTACGGTTTGACTTTAAAATATAGAACTGTCTACTGACATAACTTTATGTAACGTAAACTCACATATTTTATTAACTCATACAATGTGTTTATTTATTACACTTTGAGAAATTTAGAACAGCCAGTTTTAGTTAACGTAGAAATACTGGTAAACATATTACATATAAGAAAATCGTATCGACCATTTCAAAATTATTCTAAACGTACGGGATACCAAAGAAAAGTTTTACCAGCAGCTGAAGCGAATCGGTCTCTCCACAGAGCTGGGTTTTGTACCATTCCTGGCCAGTAGAGATGAGGTCTGGCGGGGAGATCCCCCAAGCCCAACTTGTGGATACTACCGTTGGCTGGATTGAAGTACATTCCTGCTGTTCCCATTCCAAGGCTAAAGCGTGGAAGAGCTCCTAGCGTGCCAAGAGTTTGTGCTGAAGTGTGTATGGGTCGGCGGAGAATATCGTTTATACCGTGCGGAGTGCTGAGGACCGACGATTTGCCGTCCTGGGTACTGGGATAGGGAGATAAAGCTGTACTCTTCATATCACTGATGCTGTGTAAGGCGGCCAATTGAGGATTTCCCAGGAAGAAAACATTCTGCCGTGAGGCCTCCATGTTCATGTTCAACATGGACAGCATGGAACTTGCGCTAGCTGTGGTAGTAGCCGGTGTGTTGAATTCCAACATAACGCGTTACCTTGCTTAGATCCGTCGTGCTAGACGGTGGTCTTATTAGTTTCTGCTGGAAGAAGAACGCGTCTTGTCGTTCTTTGATGCTTACTCGCTACAACATACAACTGCATACAGTAAAAAGAACAGGAATTCGTTTCCAAGCCATCAAGACCTAGGATAATGGTAACGTGACCTAAATGGTGCCAACTATATTTTAGTGGGGAAAACGATTGCGCGTGGTGTGAAATACCACAAGCATTGAACGAAGGAGGCGTGTAAATCCAACTCAGTGTCAGAAAAGGGCGGTGCAAAGGGCGCCCTGCTGCCTCAGAGCTGATTGGCTACAAGCTTTCCTCACTTATCCCCATCTTTCATCTTAGCCAATGTGAATTTCCTTTAACGGAAAGAGACGGCAAGCTTATGGCGATACAGGTGATAGCTAAGTTTTCGAAACAGACTTTCACACTCTTGGTTCCATGGAATGACCGCATTAAGTAACTGAACGTAATCTCAAAACACGTGCCAATCACGTGGCGGAAGTTAAAAAAAGTTTAAATAACAACGTTTAAATTTTCTTATTCGCAACGGTAAACAAAGACCAAGTGGATATGGACAGTTCCCCGTAATAACAAATCACAAGGGCTTCTCAAAGATTGACAGTTCTTTGTCATGGTAAAATATAAGGACAAAAAAGATGATAGTTCTTCCTTACGATAGAACATAAAAACGAAACGACAGATGTAAAGAGAACAGTTCTTCATCAGAACAAAGTAATAAGGACAAAGGGAAAACAAACAAACATAAAGACGAAGCGAAGATTGCAACGACGACTCTTCTTCTTCATAAGAAAACTAACGGATAAAGAAAAGCTGGGAAGCTGTGTTCGTGAAACAATACAGAATATGATAACAATTATATCTCAGCTAGAGATAGATAGAAGTATTAAATACCCAATGTTTATATATGAATTATCGGTAGTGTGTTAGTTCATTTTTACCTTTTAACAGAAAAACAAGTAACAGGAAAAGTAAACAAACAATTTGAAGTTAAAATATAAAGATTAATTACTTAGATATTTGACAAAACATGAAGTAAAACTAAAGATGTGCAGTTTTCTTTATGCTAGAAATGAAGATTTGGTGAAGATACAAGTAAACAATGATGGCAAAATAAGAAAGGCAAGAAAGGTAAAGTATTTTGATTTACTATATGATAATGTAATTAAAGGTTTAAAAAGAGGAAGTAAACAGACAGTAGTGCTAAACAGTTCCCTAATGAGAAGAAAGTGCCAAACAGTAGAGTAATGCTAAATAACTCTTTATTAACAAGAATTTGACAACTAGAAATAAACGATCTTATAACACCAAAATGTTTTTTTCTTTAATTAGTTGGACACTCAACGTTTCGCTTTACAGCTTCTTCAGGGGCGTTCCACTAAAACACATATATCTAAAAATATCTAAAACAAACATGAGAAGTAGATGGCAATGTTAGACAATACAATTATGAAAACTAACGTGAGAAGTTAATAGTATTGTTAAACAATATAATAGCAAATATAAATGTGAGAATAGACAGTAATTATACACTACATACTAGCGAAAACAAAATTGTAATATTAAGTTAGATAATATTGAAAACTAATATGAAAAGCAGATAGTAATGTTGCATAAAACATCAGTTTAAATAGATGCGAGAAGCAGGTCGCAATGCTAAACAATACAATACAAAAAAACAACCGTAAAAAATTTACAGTAATACTGCTAACAGAATATCAGGGAAAATCTTGAGAATTAGATAATGGCGTGAATCAGTTCAATATAATAGAAATATACAATTGTTTTAAACAACGCTCTACGTGACAAGACAGATGAGAAAGAAATATATTTATATTTATATAAGTTTTATCGTAAAAACAAGAGCATGAAAATAGGTAGAAATTGCACGGAAGATAAGAGTCTTCATTAACATAGTTTAAGAACTAAAAATAAACATAACAGAGGATATTTGAGACGCAGTAGAGAAATTTATATATATATATTGCTGTTTATGTCATACAAGATAATACTTATAACTAACATTTATAATATTTAACACTTATAACATTTCAATGATAATATGCCTAAAAACAGTGATTAATAAATATAAAATTCCAGCAAACTCAATCCCTTGGATCACAGTGTATGTGCAATATGATTGTCTTGTGGGCCGTTTGCAACCATCATTTGTCATTCCATGTGCTATTTTTATAAGGAAAATTGCATAGTGTTTGTTTTTAAGCAAAGGGGACATTGTTCATGCATTGTTGGCTAAAATATTTGGATTTCGATGCAATGGGTGCATCCAGCACAACAGAACGCTCAGATTCGCTAAATAACCGCGGGGATTTCTCCGCAGGATGCCACTCTTCCTTGTCATTTTACTGAGCACAAGAAAAGACCGTGAGCGATTTTTGACAACTTAAATTTCTTTATGAAATGTCAAAGGGGAGATATTTAATTCAAATCAATTTAGTCGACATGGTACAATAAAATCATGCATATATATATAATACCGACAAGAGAAAGGTAAATAAATAAACAAATATATATATATATGAACCAAACAACAACAAATATATACTTAAACACTTTCCGTTCATTCTCCTATCTTCGAAATATTTCTTTGAATCACTTAACGGTGGAAGTCCCCTTTTTTTTCGTGAAATTCTCTCAGAAAAAGAAACATTTATGTTCTTAATAACTTTCTTTCTCATATTGATCGTTCAGCACATACGTAAACTAACCGATCAATGTTGATATCGATAAGAAGTTTTAGGAATTACAAAAAATTAATAATTTTCCTGTAAAATATTCTTGAAATGAAGCACTTTGACACACATATTTTTTTGCTACGATTAATCGTCAAAGAGAATATAGAGCATGGCAAACAGACAGACATTTAACTATTATATATATATCCCTTTAAGTATAAATGCTGTAAATACAGTTTTATATATAAGATTATAGTTGTGATGAAGAGGGTTAAAGTATATATAAACTATTATTAATGACAACTTCTGTTTATTTTGAAGACAGATTTTGTAGAAAGTTATACACACCTAGCCAAGACCTTATTAACATATTTTAAGAACCAAAAATGAACATAACAGAGGAAATTTGAAACGCAGTAGAGAAATTTATATATATTGCTGTTTATGTCAAACAAGATAATACTTATAATTAACAGATGTCCGTTGAACATTTCAACGATAATTTGTTATCTCGTTTCCTAGGTGTAACTACCCTCGCAATCAATTATTCTAAGCCTCACTCTAGTCATTTCTCGCGTACATAATTGTTTTTAGTTTGGTGTATCTTTGTCCCACTTCAAGTCAAACTAACTTTCGATTGTATGTAGTCGTGTGCCTGATAAGTTTAGCCACTTTTCCGAACATGAACCTGCAAGTCATCTGCCCGCTAATTTTACTTACGTTGACTTGTATCACAGTGCATGTGCAATAAGATTGTATAGTGGGCCGTTTGTAACCATCTTTTGTCATTCCATGTGTTTTTTAAATAAGGAAAACTGCAAGGAGACTGACTGAAATGCATTGTTGGCAAAAAGGTTTGGGTTTCGGTGCAATGGGTGCATCCGACACAATAGAGCGCTCAGGTTTGATAAGTAGACGCGGAGATTTTTTCCACTGGGTGCCAATGTTCTTGTCGTTTTACTGAACACAAGAAAAGACCATGACTTCTACCGAGGTGAACTTTCTAACAGTTGTCATTTATATATACGAAATGTCAAAGAGGAGATATTCAGTTCAATTCAAATGTATTTATTCGACGTGGTACAACAAAATCACGCATGCATATATTACTGGTATGAAAATAAATAACTAAATATAAACTCAACAACAACATATATATACTTAAACACTTTCCTCTTTTTAAGCGTTTTTTTCGTTCATGTTCTTATCTTCGAGCCCCCCAGTAGCACAGCGGTATGTCTGCGGACTTACAACGCTAGA